TGGTATCGAAAGCCGCCGAGAGGTCCAGAAGAACCAACAGGGATGTAGTCAGCATCAGAGTTGTGCATAGGGACTTTCCAGATAACCCAAGCCTGAATTCCTCAGATCAGGAGCCTGACTTCCCACATCTGACTGGAGTACTCATCTGTTGTTGTTTTTTAATCTCCTCAGAAATTTGTTTGGAAGGTAAGAATCTCAGGATTGGTCTAGAAACATATTCCTTGGAGTAAGACAGGTACAAACTGGAAACATGCTGCTCCTCCAGAAGACAGTGCACTTGTAGCTTATGCCGCCTATTCTGGTCTTCTGAGTAAGTGGGAGGAACAACCCCTTCAAGGACCCCTCCCCTGTTGCAGGAAGATTCATGACAAAAAAGCACCAAGCCTATCTGAAAAGTGTTTAAGCCACTTAAGTGAGTTCATGGTGGCAGTAACATTTGAACCCACCCCTTTCTAATCCATAGTTCAGCCTCTGAAGCACTCTATCAAACACATGCACCATTCAGCATGCATAAAAGTGTATATTTCATGAGCGGAGCCGGCTGGAGCCGGGGGTCAGACTAGATGGCCCGGGAGACCCCTTCTGACTCGCTCTGTCTCTGTGTTTTCTATGTTTCTGTATTTTGCATCCAAGTCAGCAGGTATAAGAAAAATCATGTCCAAGATGGGCTTATTCTACCACTTACTTTGTATTTGCCAAAGAAAGGATGCCGGCCCCCAGTGGTCAGCATATCAGTGCCTCTGTCTAGAATGCAGCGAACTGCATGGCCGGTCCTGAAGCAAAACACAGAAGAAAAGGCAAGGTCAATGTTCTTCTCAGAATGACAAGAGGTGCCTACGCTCATCTTACAAAGGGGCTGGTGTCAGCCCATGAGGCCTTTCAAGCCATGAGGCAAAACTCCAGGGGATGCCACCACAATGCTCAAGGACCCGTCAAACAGGCTTCCTGCTGAATGAGAAAGAAATCAGAGGAAGTCATGAGAGAAGAGAGTTCTTTAAGTTCAGAACAAGCATGAGGCGAATGGAAGTGAAGTGAACCAGAAGGGAACAAGGAGATGGGGTGGCTGGAAATTGGAGCTACTGAAGCAAAACAGCAAAACGAGCCAGAGAAAGCTAGGAGAAAGCACAGGGAGGGACATGGGAAGAAAGAACATGGGTCTGGGCAGCCTCTGCAATGGCTTGTAGCTAATCCCTTCACATCAGCCAGGGAAATCACATAAACATTCCATCACACTTCTTTGTGGTTAAGAAAAGTAATCATGACAATCCTCCTAAAAGGGCAGCTTCCCCCCGCCCCCCCCACAACTTGATCTTCAAAACATGCAGCAGTGAGCCTTAAAGCTTAGCAAAGTGTCCTCCTCAAGCAACTAAATAGCTCGTCTCCTTGCTGAAATCTGAAATAGGGGCTCCAAGTCCACAATGCCAACTTTTTTCCAAGAGATATATTGCTTGGGCAGCAGCTTATTTGTCAGGACTAACAGTAGACAGAGGGGGCCTGCTTCAGTGGGCTTGTCACGACAGAGATCCATGAGGAATTACACCAGCCTTCCCAAAATGGATGCCTCCAGATTTGTTGTGCTACAATTCCCATCACTTCCAGCCCACAGTGACCATGGCAATGTTGGCCGTTGTGGTCCCAAACCTTGGGGAAGGCTGCACCATGCACTTCTCTCCCGCGATGAACTCCATCTGGCCTCACACGGCATGGCAAATTTTATGTCATCCTTTTAAATGTATCAAGCATTTGAAGGCTATTCTTTCCTGGCATTTAATGCCCATAAGTCCTCTTCACCTAACTGCCTTTTAAGTACTAAATATGGATATCCTTTTTTAAAAAAATATTTGTCAACTAATACATCTGAAAGAAAAATGGCTATTTCAGCCGCTTAATTAATAATTCAATAATTATTTCCTCCCATATTCCTCTGGTCCAAGAGAGAATTTCCTGAGATGTGACACATGCATACTTACTTGTTAGCTGCCACGGCAGCAATGCAGGCCAGCAGGCTTGTCTTCTGTAGTTTTCCACCAAAAGCCCCTCCAATCCGCTTCACGTGACACATGATTCTATTGTCTGGGATGCCTAAACAAGAGGCCACCATTTCCTGCACAATTATTATGCCAGTCCAATTAAAAAAGGATAGATTTGAATCACATGTGACACAATACACAGGATTTTTTAAAAGAAAGAAAAAAACCAAGCCCTTTAAGAATCTTCTTAAATACTTCTTAGGGTTGCTGCTGTTTTATCAACCACAGCTGAGTCTTTTTTTTAAACAATCAAACCCATGTTAGCCTTCTGGTATAATTTATTGTCATTTATAAGGTGGCAGGTTTGTTGCAGAAACTTATAGAAGGGGGAAATAATTTTGTAGGGTATGTTGGATCTGAGATATTCAGAGCTTTTTTGGTGGGGTGGTAAAGGAAGAATTTTCAAACGTGTTATTAAAATTATTTATAGAACTTAACAGCAGAAACAATCCAATTTCTTTGCAATGAGCAGCAATGAAAATGTCTAAGCTGAACGAGGGTTAAAATGCTGCTTAAATTAAAAAAATTACTATTTTCATTTAATCAAAATGTCCCCTTAAAAAAAGAACAGTGTTGTCAGTTATATGAAATATGCTGAAAGTGCTCTCCTAACCTGTACATATGCTGGGTGCTGGGTTGATGTGTACACATCCATTTCTTTGTCCTCTCCTTTGGGGACGACAAGGACACTCTGAGTCTCCATGTAAAAGTGTGACTGCCCCCCGATATGGAATTCACCTGTTAGAAAAATGCAGAACATCTCAAATCAGTCTCTCAAAGAGGGAGGAGTGCTCCTGTCTTGATCGTAGGAAGAAGGCAGATGAACAACTCAGAAAACTCAGACTTGATGAAAGCACATGGGTAAGTCAAGACATATACAGAAGACAGGAAAGGAAACAGACTGAATGATCTAGGCCTGATTCATATGTAAACATAAACCGTGATTTAATGCTGTGTGATTGAGTCTTTACAAGCCCTGTGTAGTGTCCATCCCTTTCTTCTGCCTACATGGCTGGGAGAAGAGATAACCATGATTCAGTTTCACTTCCCCTGATTCTGCCTTTTTGTTATGAACAAGCAAGGAATGATGATTTAAAACAAACTCTAGTCAATTGCAAAACAAACCACTTTGAAACCTTGGATTGTTTAGCTGGTTTGTTTAACTAACCTGAATTCATTTTAAACCAGCATTCCTGATTGGCATGCATTAACAAGCCAAGAATTGTAAAAACGGAACCTGAATCTTGGTTAAATTCAGCTGCATGGAAAGAGGAGAAAGGCAGCCATACATGAACTTAAACTTTGCTCTGGCTTCCACATAATGCTAAATTATAGTTTAGTGTTACATGAAAATGAGGCGATTGTAGTAATCCACTCTCAGATAATGAGATTTAATTATGGTTTGGTGGCTGAAATGTTCATAAGCAGTGGGATGCAGGGTAATTCATACTCAGTATCCAATAGAATTCAATGGGGAGATGTTGGGGAGATGGTAGACAAAAGGTATAGCAAAGGAAATTTGGTTCCTGCCATACAGTCACCTTTTTCAAGCGACTTGGAAATCAGTTTTTGTAATTCTACATCTACTCCCCTGTGTTACACTGATGGGTCTGCATGCACTATTCACAAGTATAGCCAAATGTTTTCTCAACCTTAAAAACTGTGAAGCCTAACATTCCCTAGCATCAGTGGCAAAAATTAAAGTGGGCACTAATAATGTGAATTTTATTTATTTATTTAAAACACTTTTATGCTGCCCCCATTGCAACAAAGCCTCGGGGCGACTTACAACAAAAACAAAGTTATACAAAGTTATACAATAAAAATATTAAAACCTGGTGCATCTCGGCTTAAAAATTTTTAAATCCTACACAACAAATTAACACTTAAAATAAGTTAAAAAAAAAAGGTCTTAGCCTGGTGCTGAAAAACAAATAATGACGGTGCCAGGCGGACCTCTCTGGGGAGCGCATTCCATAGGTGGGGCGCCACCTCAGAGAAAGCCCTCCTCCAAGTAACCACCCTCCTAATATCCTTCATGGAGGGTTCCCAGAGAAGGGCATCTGTTGCTGATCTCAAGGGGTGGGAGGGCATATATGGGCACAAGCGTGTCTACACATAATTTCAAGATATTATGTGTAGACACAAATGTATATCTGTGAGATCATTTGGGTTAAACATCAACCCTATTAGAAACTTTAATTCAAATGGAATGAACAGCTGTTTCTGACATTATATAGTGAATCAAAATTTTTAGAGACAAAAAAGTTCTCGCCTGGGTGTACGCTGCTTGATTTTCACAATAAGATTTTAACCCAGCAGGCTGCAATTTACCTTCAAGTATGTGGTCAACTGCTTTAAATGCTTCATCCACATTTCCTTGTTCTAGTTTTCGCTTTGGTTCAAAGAATGAATTGTGCTGTATTGCCTCCTGTGGTGGCAGAAAACACACAAGTAATTCATTCAACTTCTTTTGCTGATTGATATATATATATATATATATATATATATATATATATATATATATATATTAAAACAAATAAACTCCAGGATCTTTGAGAGAAGCCATGACCTTTAAACAGGTTAAAAAACTTGTTAAACAGATCTAAAACTTATAAAAACTATAATTATCACAGATATGCCCGATTTACATTTCACAGTCTCATTTTACATGATAAACCAGTTTAAGACCATGCAGTGGCTTTCAAGAGATTAAATCACATAGTATCACAGTAATTGGATTTGACTCAGTCATGATTTAACTCGGTTTGCTAATGTTGACTGAGACAAACAGTTTACGAGCAATAAATCAAGCACAGGGAAACGGCTAAACAACACAGACGAGAGCAGTGCTAAGGCAGAAGCTGTTCTTCACCTCTATGGTCAGGATCACAGGCTCTTGGGGTTCGTATTCTATCTTCACTTTAGCAGTGGCTTGCTTTGCGTGAACATCTGAATCTGCAACTACTGCACAGACAACTTGGCCCACACAGGTCACCTGAAAAATGTAGGGAATTGGTGACTTAGTTTTTGTCTTCCTCTTGTTTCCCAGAAAACCAACGAAACTAGGCATCACAAGTTACCATGATTTCTTAAGGGGTGTAGCCTACCTTCCACAACTGCATAAATCTGAGACTTAATTCAATATCAGCTCTACGCAGACGCACAAATAACCATGTGACCCATGTACTAGGCTAGAAGGCTGGCTGAATGTTGGAGTGCAACCAAACTGTAGTATTTCTACGGCTGACTGGTGTAATTACTACTACAACTACTGGTTTGGATCTGCATCATTTCAGGAACTAATTTATAAAGCTGCAATTTAATTTTTTCTCTTTTCTCTCTCCCCCTCTCCCCTATCCCATTTCACTTTTGCCATCTCCAGCCTACATATACACTAGGTAGAGTAAAGTTGGTTCTCGTTTAGGTTAACCAAATAATAAAAACTAAAACCATGATCAAAAGTTGCTTACCTTTTCTCTGGCAAATACAATATCTGGGACATCATAATTATAGAACTCATTAGTGGCTGGGACATCCTGAACAGAAATGATATCAACTACTCCTGACATCTTGAGGGCTTCTGAAGCATCAATTGATCTGGGGGAACAGTGTGAACCAGTTATTATGCATGCCTTCACAAGTGCAAGATTATTTACAGGTTCCAAGGCCAGGGTTGGGGAGAAGCGGAGGTGGATGCTGGGGTAGCTTGGGGAGGGCAATGAGAAGGTGGAGCTGGGACTGGTGAAGGAAGTGACAGCGTTCCGTACCATCTTTAGATTTCAGTAACCTAGCAAATTAGCTATTGAGTGACTTAGACTGCTTTACTAAATCTACTTAGGGAACAATCCTGTGGCAGCTAAATGCAGTTGAGGTGGCCAAAGGATAATTTGGAGGCCCGGGTCCAACCTCAAAAGGGTTCTTTCTGTGCCAGCTGCAGCTCAGTGGTTGCAAGAGCTAAGTTGGAGTTGGCCCTGGGGTGGGAGGCATTACCAGGGATAGCTATGGGAAGAGGAGGGCACAACTACCCTCTGAGGAATCTTTCCAGAACCTCTGATTCCTCTCCTCATAAGCTGATGTAAAACATTTAGGTGGTCAAAACTGGCTGCCCAAATGTTTTGGAGGGTAGGAGGAGTTCCAACATAACCCTTGCTGTGGTTTTCCTTCCACCCTCCATTGGATGTCAGGAAGCCTCTGAGTGTGGAGGACTGCGGGCAGCACATGGGATGGCACCATTTCCTGCAATAATGCATCACTGAACTCTGGTGTTTCTTTCTGAGTAAACCTCATGGCTTGTATCTCTGATGAGATTCATGAACTACCAAGCCTATCGGAATTAGCCCAGGCCCATTAGCCTGGGCAGAAGCAAAGCACGTTGCCGTGTGAATCTAACATGTGGTATTACAAAACAACTCAAAAGATTAGCGTCTCAAATCTTTCCTCCCTTGGAGCCCTGAATCTCTGGGAGGCCACCTGTCCCACCGCCTTGCTGACAATGGACACCTCCTGAAAGGAAAGGGCAACATCCAGGGGGCTTCCATCAATCCTGACAATTGGTGCAACAGATATCATCCGAAATCAGCAGTGACCTTTGTTGCATCTCACCCCCCTGGATTAGTGGGGGGGTTGCCCACATTTCTTCACCTTCAGCTGCCTCACTCACTTTCGACTCTTTCTGCCTAAGACTTTTTTCCTGAAATCAAATGCCCTCTTCTCTCCACCCATACACTGTTTTTACAAATAAGGGTGCATTTAGGAGACAGAATCCTTTTTAGAGTGTCTGCAAATTAGCATATACCAGTTTTTGCTTTTTGTTTGTTTGTCCCGTGGGCCTGGATTTTTCTGTATCTAGCATTGCCTTTGTGTCCAAGGATATCTCTACAGTACAAATCCATATTTGCTTTATGCTAGTATTGTTATCAGTGGTTCCCTCATGGAATTATTACTTTGGTGACGGTGCTGATAATAACTTGCTAGAGATTTCATAACTCATCCTCAGGGTTGACTAGAAAGGGAGTGACTGTTACAGGGGCTGAAGTGTCCAGATGTTAATTTAAAGCCCAGGGCTTAAAGTTGCAGGGTGGCCACCACTGCATCTCTAATGACTGGGCAGGGTGGGGGGCCTTCAGGCCCCACCTTTCCCCCTTCCCCTCTTAGTCCTCCATCCGGCAACCAGGGGAACACCACGCTGGAACACTGAGGGGGCCAGGATGTCTCCACTTCGGGCAGCTGCTGCCCTCTTTCCCACCCCACATTCCTGTTGGCATCAGCAGGTGCACAGGCATAGGGAACCTGGAGCACATTCATCATGCTGAGCATTGCATCCAACCCTTAGCAAGTTGCTAAAGTAGGAACACGTTCTCCCTTCAGATGTTGCTGGACTCCAGTGCCTATTAGCCTAAGCCAGTATGGCAAACTGTCAAGACTGACAAGAGTTGTCTTCCAGATGTCAGGAATCCTCATACCTTTGATTCAAAGGGTGGCTGAGGACCAAGTACAACATGGTTCATAAGAAGAAGCTTTCAATGGGAAAAGGAAATGACAGAGGAGCATTCCTAAGGGGAGCTACTCAGATGGTGTCCCAGATGCTTTTGTTATTTGTCTCAAGTCTGAATGCAAAGGCTGCCAACCATGAGAGTTCTGAAGTCTGTAAGTATGTAAAGGAAACTCCTCTGACACCAGTCTATCATTCCTTTAAGCCTGGTATGATCCAAGGAGGAAAGAGGTAACAAAACCAGTCCTATTCTTCCATAACATCAGAAGTTAAAGCCACTTCCTCTGGAACTCTTTGCCTTTGAGCTTCCTCTTGAGGAAGCTCTGAACTGAGGTCAAGGTTGATTCTGAGAATTTGCCAGTAAGCAGCAATCACCTCCAGGTCTGTTCTATTTCACCAGTCACCACCCTGATACCCAGAGGAGAACCTTCAAAGCTATCGAGAAAACGAGATTGCTTCGCAGTGGTACGTACACAATCTTTGCATGGGCTCTAGAACTGGTTACGAGGGCCAAGAAGAGTTCTTCATCCATAGCACGAATGTCATCACAATAAATAGCTTCCCCTGTGGCATGTTTAATACCAGCCTGGTGCATGACTGCATGTCCTACCGGATCTTGGGCAAGTTGAGCTGGCTCCACACACTTTTCAGTTAAACAATGACCACATTAAAACAAAGAGATAAACATAAATAATGAAGACAGCCATTTATTTTAGCCTTTTTTCCATTTGTAAGTTTTGTCTATCTTTCTACAAATAATTTCAGTCACAATTGTGCACCTAGAAATGTTAGAAAGAGAGAGCAAGGCTTATTGCTGCTTCTTTGTGTGTGTGTGGGTATTATTAGAGGCAATACCACAGAATGTGAAATGTTCTAATAATAATAATAAAAAAGAATGTACTAAATCCTTTACTGGATCTAGCCTGATCATTGCGTGGGAGGTTACTCAAGAATCCCATGTAAAGCCACCTTCAGTTACTTCACAAGAAGGTGGGTATATCAGTGTACTAACCAAATAAATGGCTAGACTGGGACTGAAGGGGACATTTGTGAGTGGTTTCAAGTAGATTAGGAAGTTTCTGACTCTCAGCTGCTTAACAATAGCAAGTAAAATTCAAAGGCTTTATTTTTAATTACAATTCCTAGTCCTGTACTGATTCCTTCTAACTTAGCCTCAGTGTTCCTCAACTACTGAACAGAAATACTAATTGGTTGCCTTTGACCAGGTTTTTATGTAAGTCAATTGGATGCTTTGAGTATCTTTGATCTATACTAATGCAGGTGGAGATAAAAATTTGAATATGCAAGTAAGATATTAGCCAGAAGAGGTAATTTCAGATTTAATCCTTCCTCAGGCTATGCAAAACAAGAAAATCTGCCCTAACAATGCTTGACCCATTGATGATTCATCTGCATAACAATACTTTGGTTTATCAGCTTTAAAAAGGGCAAAGCAAAGCTTTCTCCCAGTGGATTTTAATTCTGAATGTTGGTAGGTTTAGGTAAGAGACCAAGATGGCCTGTACTGAACCTTTTTCAGCTTTGTTTGGGGTCTATTGTTATGAGTACAAAGCATTCTGTACAACTATTTGTCTGGAGTTTCTGGGGAAGGTTTGTGTCCTGGGCAGGTTTAGGTTTCCTAAAAAAGCCCAAAACAGGCAGGAGGCTGAAAATTGGGGATGTTTTAGACTAGGCACTTTGTGGCAATGTCCTAGAAGGACAAACCAGTGAGACTAGTCATGTGCAAATTACAATACAAAAAGTTTGCTAGGGGGATGCCAGTCACCCCATGATATGGGATAAGGGCTACAAAAACTCCTCAGGCAAAAATACAGCTTATATAACAAAACCCTCCACGAATAAAAATGTTTTTCCCTGCTAGTAGATGGACAACAGAGATGAAATTGACTTACCCTCATGGGGCAAGCAGTTCCAAATGTAAGTGAATGAGGCATGACAGAAACATTTCTGCAAAAACTGCCCAGGTTTTTCCAGATTTCAATTTTATTCCTTAGAAAATCTGAAAATATCTCCCAGCATTGCGGTTTGCTGGATCAACCACAGCCTCTTTTTGAAGCCTGACATCCATAATGGCTCTCTAGAACCCCGTTCCTCCATACTAGCAGTGGTGGAATTTCTCATTTCATGGCTCATGAAAAAGGAAATCACTTACTAATCTCTCCAGGCTGAGCAGATAAAGTTGAGAAATCTGGATAGGCCAAACCAAAGTTAACTTTTCGAGAAGGCTACTTCTGATCTCAATGGAACCGAATGCCATAATTTTAAGATAATGAAAATGGGACTACTCAAGCAGTGCTACTAACCTGGAACTTTTGCATGCTCTGGGGCATTTTGGTGCGAAACTCTTCAAGGGCACTTGCATAATTTTCTGGGATATCGGTTTGCTGACTGGGATACTAAAAGAAAACCATTTCAGTTACTTTTTAAAAAGAAACATTTAAATTAAACACACACACATACGCTAAACTAATTTGTTGACCTGTTATAACAGTTCTTGAATGTTTAAAGGGAATAAGAGCATAAGAAGAGCTGTTATAAACCAGACCCAAAGGCCTCCCTAGTTCAGCACACTGTTCCTATGGTGACCGATCAGATGCTTTATGGGAAACCCACAAGCAGACCATGAGCAGCATTACAGCAGCCCTTTGCCTGAGTTCTCCAGTAACCGGCCTGCAGAGGCAAACTTGAGGTGACATGTGCAAACAGTCATTGTTACAAAAGCATCACGCTCCTATTTTACTTGTATATCCCTCCCTTCCTCCAAGCAGCCCAAGGCACAAGTACCTGCTCCTTCTCCTCTCAATTATAGCCTCATAACAGTAACCCTATGAAGTAGGTTAAGTTGAAAGCCAGTAACTGGCCCAAAGTCACCCAGTGAGCTTTGCAGTGGGGCTTGGGGGCTACAACTCAGACCTCCCCAGTCCCAATCTGAATCTAAGATGGAGGAGGAGAATGATGTAAGCTGCCTTGAGCCCTTTGAGGAAAAAGGCAGGATATAAATCGAAAATAAATAAATAAATAAATAAAATCTGACGTTCTAAGCTACGATGCTGCCGTGGCTCCCACTTGGACACAACACTCCCATCCCGTAATTCAATGTCACTCTCATGTAAATCAGGTGCTGCCAGTGCCTGTTGGTGCGGTGAATCTTCCAGGGTAAACCACCCACATCACGCCAGAGACAGCCAAATCTGTTGCAAGATCAACCATGCCAATCCAGGTGTAGCATTACCTACTGCTCAGTAGCTTCCGTGGCTCTCAGAATGCACCTCTGCCCTTTTAAAATAATAACCTAATAATGTTTAGTCTTATATTACGAGAAATAGCTCCAAGCACCTTGGAATATTCCCTAATGGTTTAATTCAGTAATTTTGACAGGGACTCTTTGGTGCAAAGTAGTTAGTCTAGTTTACTTTTACTTTCCTTTCTGTTTGTTAGTTGTAGTTATTCCCAGACATTGCAGAACTAAGGAGAAGCATTATTTTGGCTCTAATAAACTTCTCAAGTTTTCTGTACTGGTATTTCAGAAATGACAGCATTTTAAAATCAAGTCCAATATATGTGAAATTCCTCACATAGTTTTCCTCAGAGGAAGGGTTACTAAGATTGTAACATAGATCAGCCTTAAACAACATTTTGCTCATTTCGTGAAAGCTCAGATAAAAACCTGAAGTCTCTGTTGAGAAGGGCCCTTCCCTTTGATAGAATTCTAGCAATGAAAGGATGCAATACCAAAATAAGGAGAGCTGTGTGCACATGGCAAAGAATGTGTTGGTTTCCACTGCTGCTTTCACAGCATCAGCTCCTGCCACAGAGGAGACAGCCCTCGTACATTTTCAATAAACAATACCATATATATAAAATAAAAATCACTATAAGCTTGCATAGTGTTTGACCACTCAACAGTGGTACAATAAATGCTTTCTGCTATGTAATATCCTTTATTTACGAAAACATTTAACATCAAGTCAAACAGCTTAATAAAAGATTAATCCACCTATTCCAAACACTGCACCCCATCCAGTCAGATTCCTTAACATCCTGCCTCTTTAAGATTATGTCCCAAATGGATTCACTTGTCCTGCAAAGTAACCCACACAAGACTACCATAGTCCCAGCGAGCCAGCAGCCTGCACTCCATGGGTGAGCTGGACTGCTTGCTTTATGGAGGGGGATTCATCAAAAGTCACAGAACTGACTGGCCTCCCCGTGCTGGATCTCACCCATTACAGAATGCCCTTCCTAATGGGGATCATCTGGCCAAACTACTGCAGAATAAAAACTTGCTTTTTTAAGGGAGCCTTTCCTGATGTGAAGCTTTCAGGTGGTTACTGAGGTTTCTTCTAGCTGTTGTACCATCATCATCTTCTTAGTCTATTCTGTCATATGTACTGGATTAATTCTAAGCAGATACGTCTCAGCAAACAGAAGGACCAGTCTTTACAGAGTCGGTATAAAAAGATGTTTGATGTGGATATCCAAATGAAATTCAGTGAAGACTGATTCAGTGGAGCAGGGAAATTAATCAATTTTGCACCTCCATGAAAATACCTTGGGAATATTAAACTTTTAACTTACTTTTTCTGCAGTGATTTTGACTGAAAGGACTGAGATAATCTTGGTCCCTGAAGAGGATGGGAAGAATACCTTGGATACTGCAGACATAACAAGATACTTCTGGTTCAGAACACAATGTTCATTGCTAGGAGATCCTAAGGACCCAACAACTCCGGGTCAGAGAAAGACAGTTCAAAAAGGGGCCCTGGAGGAGGAGAGTAGGGCCATTTTATTGGAACACACCTGCAGATCTGGACACGTTGCTAGGTCCTATGCTTTGCAGATGAGGCTGGATAGAGTAACAGGAAGTTTTTACTGTATATCAAATTTTACCCTTTTAAAAACTGATAAATTTAAAGAGCTAAAGTAATAGAATAACACTCACTCCTCCTTTTATTCATCCTTTGATTCTATCAGATTCTATCTACCTATCTAATTACTGAGGGTCATTTTCACAACTTCTCTCTAAGTTTGGGGCACGTGGTCATTCATTTTGTGGACATTTGCCTGCTCAGAATTAATCAAATATATGACAGTGTGTAACTCTGAGTGTCATTTGACCATAGCGAACTTGAGATAAATAAATAGCGAAACAAACCCCCAATAAATAACTTGTCTCAAATCCAAGCAGTTCAGCTTCAAACAGTGTGTGAATCAGCCTGCTTACATACAACTGCAAAACACAGAAACCCTGCAAATGAACAAGGCAAAATATTACCATGGTTTTCAATGAATGCAGCACTTCCAGGTAGAATTTGAAGATGAAACTAACAAGGAGAGTTCTTTTGTAGTCTACTTTGTCCCCCTGAACTGAGCTTGGAAGGATTTCTTTGATTACTGCTCTGCAAGCTTCATTCAACATCTGCTCATCCCACAGTCTGGCAAAATATAAATAAATTAATTCATTAGGCAGGTATGAGTATCAATCACAGGAGTACTAGTCATCATACTGGTTAGAACCTCACTATTGATTTATCATGATGGCATAGTGCTTAAAAACACAGTTTTGATCCTGGGAGTTGTTATTCCAACTGTTTGCCTTGGTAAAGGAAAAAGAGATGCTGATACAGCAAAACATTTGAATTTTAAATGGATGAAGTCATCTGCACTGTAGGAAGCTGTCACTACAAGTTATGGAAATAATGATATTTGGAAGACCATCAAGTGGAAACACACATAATACTGTTTATATAATACTTTTTCTTTTATACTTAGTTCTTCTCCTGCTTTTTCCATCCCAGCGGAGAAACTCTATTATTCCTGAGAGCCAGCTGTTTGACACAAGATCCCTGACATAATCTATATAAGGAGCATATAAAGTCTGATACCCCTTCATGGATCACTGCCTTATCATGGCGAAGGGGCTTGCATAGCTCAATGAAGCTATGAGCTATGCTGTGCAGGGCCACCCAAGACAGACAGGTCATAGCAGAGAGCTCTGACAAAACGTGATCCACTGGAGAAGGAAATGGCAACCCACTCCAGTACCCTTGCCATGAAAACCCCATGGACAGTACCAAAAGGCAAAAAGATATGACACTGAAAGATGAGCTCCTCAGGTTGGAAGGTGTCCAATATGCTAGTTGGGAAAGAATAGAGGGCTAGTACTAGTAGCGCCAGAAAGAATGAAGCGACTGGGACAAAGCCGAAAGGACACTCAGTTGCAGATGTATTTAGTGGTGAAAGGAAAGTCCGATGCTGCAAAGATCTATACTCCATAGGAACCTGGAATGTAAGATCCATGAATCAAGGCAAGCTGGATGTGGTCAAACAAGAGATGACAAGACTGAACATCAACATCTTAGGAATCAGGGAACTAAAATGGACAGGAATGGGTGAATTTAATTCAGATGACCATCAGGTATACTACTGCGGGCAAGAATCTCTCAGAAGAAATAGAGTAGCCTTCATAGTCAATAAAAGAGTAGGAAAAGCTGTACTGGGATACGATCTCCAAAATGACAGAATGATCTCAGTTCGAATCCAAGGCAAACCATTCAACATCACAGTAAGTCTATGCCCCAACCACTGGTACTGAAGAGGCTGAAGTTGACCGGTTCTATGAAGGCCTACAACACTTTCTAGAATTAACACCAAAAAATGATGTCCTTATCATCATGGGGGATTGGAATGCTAAAGTAGGAAGCCAAAAGATAACTGGAATAACAGGCAAGTTTGGCCTTGGAGTACAAAATGAAGCAGGGCACAGGCTGGTAGAATTTTGTCAAGAGAATACGATGGTCATAGCACACACTCTTTTCCAATAACCCAAGAAACGACGCTACACATGGACATCACCAGATGGTCAACACAGAAATCAGACTGACTATGTGCTCTGCAGCCAAAGATCGAGAAGCTCTATACAGTCAGTAAAAACTAGACTAGGAGCTGACTGTGGCTCAGATCATGAGCTTCTCATTGCAAAATTTAGGCTTAAATTGAAGAAAGTAGGAAAACGCACTAGGCCACTCAAGTATGACCTAAATCATATTCCTGATGAGTATACAGTAGAGGTGAGAAATAGATTTAAGGAATTAGATCTGATAGGCAGAGTGCCTGAAGAAGTTTGGACGGAGATTTGCAACATTGTACAAGAGGTAGCAACTAAGACCATCCCAAAGAAAAAGAAATGCAAGAAAGCAAAATGGCTGTCTTAGGAAGCTTTACAAAAAGCTGAGGAAAGAAGGGAATTGAAAGGCAAGGAAGAAAAGGAAAGATACACTCAATTGAAAGCAGAATTCCAGAGAATAGCTAGAAGAGGTAAGAATGCCTTGTTAAATGAACAGTGCAAATAAATAGAAGAAAACAATAGAATAGGGAGGACCAGAGATCTCTTCAAAGAAATTGGCGATACGAAGAGAACATTTCATGCAAAGATGGGCATGATAAAGGACCAAAATGGCAGGGACCTAACAGAGGCAGAAGAGATTAAGAAGAGGTGGCAAGATTACACAGAGAAACTATACAAGAAAGAGCTTAATGTCCCTGATAAGCACAATGGGGTAGTCACTAACCTCAAGCAAGACATCCTGGAATGTGAAGTCAAATGGGCCTTGGGAAGTCTGAGCAACAACAAAGCTAGTGGAAGTGACAGTATTCCAGCTGAGCTATTCAAAATCTTAAAAGATGATGCAGTAAAAGTGCTACACTCAATATGGCAGCAAATTCGGAAAACTCAACAGTGGCCGCAGGATTGGAAAAGGTCAGCTTACATTCCAATCCCAAAGAAGGGCAATGGCAAGGAATGTTCGAACCACTGCACCATTGCACTCATTTCACATGCTAGCAAAGTTATGCTCAAAATTCTACAAGCTAGGCTCCAGCAGTATGTGGACCAAGAACTACCAGAAGTACAGGCAGGATTTCGAAGAGGAAGAGGAACTAGAGATCAAATTGCCAACATACGCTGGATCATGGAGAAAGCTAGGGTGTTCCAGAAAAACATCTGCTTCTGCTTCATTGACTATGCTAAAGCCTTTGATTGTGTAGCTCACAACAAATTGTGGCAAGTGCTTAAAGAGATGGGAGTACCAGACCATCTTACTTGTCTCTTGAGAAACCTATATGTGGGTCAAAAAGCAACAGTGAGAACTGGACACGGAACCACTGATTGGTTCAAAATTGAGAAAGGAGTTTATTTAACTTATATGCAGAGCACATCATGAGAAAGGCGGGGCTAGATGAATCACCAGTTGGAATTAAGATTGTCAGGAGTAATATCAACAACCTCAGATATGCAGATGATACCACTCTCATGGCAGAAAGTGAAGAGTAACTAAAGAGCCTCTTGATGTGGGTGAAGGAGGAGAGCGCAAAAGTTGACTTGAAACTCAACATTAAGAAAACTAAGATCATGGCATCCAGTCCTCTCACTTCCTGGCAAATAGATGGAGAAGAAATGGAGGTAGTGACAGATTTTATTTTCCTGGGAAAATAAAAGATCACCGCAGATGGGGACTGCAACCAAGAAATGAAAAGACGCTTGCTCCTGGGGAGGAAAGCTATGGCAAATCTTGACAGCATACTTAAAAGCGGAGACATCACCCTGGCAAAATAAGTGCGTATAGTCAAGGCCATGGTTGTCCCGGTTGCATTGTATGGCTGTGAAAGCTGGACCATAAGGAAGGCTGAGCACTGAAGGATTGAGATGTTTGAATTGTGGTGCTGGAGGAGACTCCTGTGAGTCCCCTGGACCACAAGGCGATCAAACTGATCAGTCCTAGAGGAGATCAACCCTGACTGCTCTTTAGAAGGCCAGATCCTGAAGATGAAACTCAAATATACTCTGGCCACCTAATGAGAAGGAGGGACTCCCTGGAGAAGAGTCTAATGCTGAGAACAATAGATGGCAAAAGAAGGACGGGATGGCAGAGGATGAGGTGGCTAGATGGAGTCACTGAGGCAGTTGGTGTGAGCTTGAGTGGAGTCCGGGGGATGGTGGAGGACAGGAAGGCCTGGAGGTATGTCATCCATGGGGTTGCGATGGGTTGGACACAACTTTGCGACTAACAACAACAACAACAAAGTCTGATAATGACTGACCAGTAACATAACCATCTAGTCTGAAACAATCTTCTGTAGAGAGGAGATTTATTTTTTATTGGTATTATACCATTGCATTTCTATACTGCCTGCAACTGAAGCTCTCCGTGTGGTTCACAATATTTTAAGTTACCCATCCAGATTTCAACCTGGCCTAACCCTACTTACCTTCTAAGATTAGGCAGGATCAGGAACTTCAGGCTATATGAAAGGATGGTTCACCATCCATGTTTCTTCTTTAAACATTCAATGGAGTGTAGACATACCAAGCAGACTTGTGCTTATAAAATCTAATGAGGTCCCTAAACAGTGGAAATTGATTACATGCATGGTAGGAGAACAGCTTATCCAGGGAACTCTTACTTAGGAACCCAGAATTGCTATTTTCAGTACAAAGCCAAACCAGGAGAGTAGGAAGCTAGAACAGGGATGATTTCATCTAAAGAGTGCCAAACCTATAGGAAAACATACAATACCTCCCAATGAGCTTCTGGCATGTTTGCGTTGCAGCAACTGTAGTGGGACCAATCCCACCATAAAAGATGCTCAAGTCCCTGATGATGTCACAGCCATCTTCAAAAAGGACCCTCATTCCTGCATTCGCAATAGGTAAGGCGTTTTCCCTCCGTGTGGCCTGTCGGAACCCAGATACAAACTCACCCTGAAGGGGTGGGGACAATAAAATGAAAGAATGAGCTGCACAGTGATGTTCTGTAATACCATCTTTAAGTCCAGAATATTCCACAACTTTCAGGTATGAATGTTCATTTTGAGAAACACACCCTTTCTAAAAAATACATATATTTTTTTATTTTTCATAGCAACAACATAGCCAACTTTATAAATCGTATCACAAGATTGTACGAACTACTACAAAATACTGCTGTTTTCAACTGCTACATTCCAATGCACCATACATATAGTACAATTACTCATATGTTAGTGGCCTGCCTTCTCCAAGGGATTTTGTCAAAGCTATCTCCCATATCGTAAATGAGCAAGTTCTGCTGCTACTTTTACATGTGTACTTGATTGCACTGAGTGAAGCTTCAATTTTTCCCTCATGCAATTTGCAGAATGTTCCTCGCTTGTAACTCCCAACACTTCAAGAACAGACATGTCTACACTAGACACAAGATATAATGGAATTTATTTATTAGATTTCTATCCTATTAGCCAAAATGGTTCTGATAGCACTGATAGTGCTACAATAGACAAAGAATTTTTCTACATGAGGCTGTTAATTGGTTGCCTATATGAAGATCATTTCCTCTCCTGCTTTGTCATGGAAGTGTGGAAAAGCAGAGTAGTACAAAGTAGGACAAAGGAAAACACACCTGGTTCTGTTTTCACAATTAAAAGGTGCATTTTCCCTACTCTACAAACAACTTGCCAGAAGTGCTGGTTAGACACAGATGCAAACTGGAGTGATATGAGATCATCTAAATAACCAGTTAAGAGCTGTCAGTACAGATTAGTGAGTATATGATACATCTTTCGCATAGGAAAACCCATTTTTCCTAGCCTCCCCTTGTCTATAGGTTCCAGCTGGCCTTCTAGCTGCTAAAAGTAAGATGGGCATACAGAGGGAGAAGCAGGGGGATTTGTGGATATAAGTTCTGCGTAAAAACGCAGCAAGCTGTCAGCAGGGAGAAGGAACTACAGAACAAGGGCCCACATTGCAGCATCCAGTAAGATCCTGGATTGGGCTCATGGCTAGCAGGGTGTGAGGAATCTGGTCTGGGGGTCGGAATCTGTTGGAATCCTTAAGCTTGGCTCCCTGGATTCCATTCTGTTTTCTCTTTGTCCTATGTCTGCCTTGTGAGGCATTTGCGTGCGCAGCTGGTGGGAAGCGAGTCCAAGGCAGTTGCCAGAGCCAGCTTGCTCGCAGAATGTCTGTGCACCTGCGGTACAAATAGAACTCTGCTTCTGCAAGTACGACTTGCAGGCTTTCTGTGCTTTGTGCAAGACATTGCATACTTTCCACGGACTATTAGTATGAAGTGGTGGATGATGATCTAATTAGTGTTTACCAGGGCTTTTTTTGTCATAGAACGCAACGGAACAGCGTTCGTTCGGGCACCTTTTTTCCAATGGATTTTACAAAGTGATTTTGAATCGCCTGTGGGCGTAGCAGAACAACAGCAAACATCATTAACATAGTGCCTGCAGGCTGCTTTTGTGCTTTTGAGTCTGCTATCTGATAGTGAGGGCAGCTGCTGGCTTGGGAGTGAGTGCTTACTGCCAGCGGAGGGGGGGGGGAGGAGGGTAGTTCCCATGCCTTCTTTTTTACAAAAAAAGCACTGATGTTTACACATTAACTTTTCCTAGAAACACAAATAAAAAGAATGCTTACCTTCCTGGAATGTGGAATTTGGACAGACACTAGGACCTCCTCTGGTTCAAGGCTATTTTTTCCAAGTCCATCAGCAAAAAGGTGCCTCAAAGGAATTTGTCTCAATCTCCCTAATGAAGAAAGTTGATATTTACATAAATAAATGTGAGGCAGTTCAAAGAAACCTCTGTGTGCTCCTTTGGGCTGAGTGGTGTTGGTCTTTCTGCACTTGTTCTGCAAGTGGACTGGAGATACGGAGTGGAGAAACTCAGAATTTTGCCATTACTTTCTTCTTTAAGCTAGAGAAACTTACCCTCTACAACCATTAAGAAGAATGGCAGAGTTAATTTCTACACCACTCCAAAAATTCAGGATTTTTTTGAAAGTCACATTGACTCACCCCTGCTTTTTACTGTATCTCAACATGCAAAAATTAAGGGATGGACTAAAAACTGCTTGGTTTGCAAAGAAGATACGCTGATGACAGAAATACTTTCATATGCTGGTCATGTGCATCTTCTCTCCAAAACAAGATGTGTGAATTACATGTCTGTCTTAACACAGTGTAGCCTACTCAAGTGAAGCAGTGACTCCGAAGACCATCATACATCTATCTTTTTAGAAGGCACATGGGAAGCACTGCAGCTATTGGGTATCTGAACCAGGTCAGAATTACAGGAGAAGGGAGGCTGAGCCTTTCCCCCTGACTATGTGCTTTTACGGTTCATGAAACACCCTGCTTCTGCTTCAGAGGTGATTTGGAGAGAAAATAGGACCAAGGTTGCAATCCTATGCATGTTCTGACAGAATAAGTTCTTACAGCTTCCAGAATTTCACAGGCAGCATGGCTGATTAAGGTGTATGCAGAACTGTATTATTTATTTAATAAATTTCTACTCTGCCCATTAGCCAGGATGATTCCCTGAGTGGCTGTACAATTTTGCTCTGTCTGAACATGCATAGGATTGTGCTCTAGGCTACAACCATATATCTTCCCTAGGAGGAAGCCCCATTAAGTAAACCTATATAGCGGGGGTGGCAAAACCCAGGCAAAACCCAGGCTCAAAAGCCACATGCAGCTCTTTGAGTTTATTTAGCAGAGGGGCCAAAAGAGCCTGACTCGAAAATAATTACAGCACAGATTAATTTTACAGAAAACAATTACAGCACAGTCCCAGTTGCTTGAGGGAAACTCCAGAGAAGAAGGAGAGAACCAAACTGCTGGAGCCTTAGCTTCTCCCGCATGTTCCACCCTCACCAGCCACTCGCTGCTCCAGATTTCCCACTCCCCCCCCCCTCCTCCACTGACACAGCCACGCTGCTGTGTGAGGCAGTGAAGGGATCTGCTGGAGGAAAATTCTGGGCTGAGATCAGCAGCAGAAGCCCTCCTCTGGGAATACTCTGTGAAAGACATCAGGAGACAGAGTACCCGCAGGAGGGCCTTCTCTGTGGTGGCGCCCCATCTATGGAATGCGCTCCCCAAAGAGGTCCACCTGGCACCGTCATTATATGTTTTTCGGTGCCAGGTTAAGACCTTTTTATTTAATCAATATTCTAATAAGTTTTAATATTGAATTTTATTACCATATTTTAATTTGCAGTCAGAGTGGGTTGTCAATTTATTGTTTATGTACCTCGGAATTTTATTTGTGTAAGCCATCCTGAGGCTCTTGCAAAGGACAGCATACAAATATCTTAAATAAATAAATAAGTACTGTGCAAATTTGAGGGGTCCCGTGAAGGAGCAGCGGGCTTTATCACTGAGCTGTGGCGGTGAGGGAGAGGAGAGCAAGCAGGCGAGTTGGAGGGAGGGTGCAATTTCTTCCCATCCAAATCTGCCTTACACTGACCCTGGGTGGGAGAAGCTTCTTCTCAGTTCCCCCTGAGAACAGGTATTAGCTGAAATGAGTCAACAAGTCCATAGGTGGGGGAAAGAGGAGAGCGGTGGATGAGGGGAAACATGGGGTCCCCGTGAACTGGAGAAAGGGAGCAAGCAGCATCTTTCTGCTGATGCGAATTGTGTGGAATGCCTCAGCAAACGCGGGCAGGAGGCAGCCAGGCCCTGAAGCACTCAGCACAAACCAGTTTCTCATTAAATAAGAGTGATCACGGATCCCACTCCCGTTCTCCTTCCCTCCAATTCCAGGATAAGTTTCTGCGATGTTCTTCTCTGTGTACAATGCGTCACAATTCTTGATTGATAAAGGTGGACGTTTGCAGGCCTGTACTTTGGGGGAGAGGGAAGGTGTCCAGGGAACTGGCTTTCCAGTCATAAAGAGGTAATCAATTGTGATGTCGAAGCATCGACACCTGATAGAGCTAATTCACATAGCCTTGACAACATATCAGCTGGATTTTCAACAATTCATCACCAAGACTGGGACTCACAAGATCTCTGTTAGCAGAAACTAGTCTGATAATTGTAGCGATCTCTGTTTGGTCATAATATGAATGAATGAATGAATGAATGTTTTTGTCTTATGGCTCTCAAGATATCTGACATTTACCATATGTGGCTCTTCCACTGAGCAATATAGCCGCCCCTGCTATATAGGATTGTGTGGCACAAGTCATACTGCCTCTGCTGGTACAAATAAGGAAGATACGTAGGTACATACTATTCTCAAAAGTGGCAATAATCTCCTACAATAATATTAAGAGCTTCCCCAAGGGTGTAGCCACTAACTGGTTTTCTAGGGCCCACAATAGGTTCAAATGTATATTTCAAAACAGGACACAGAAGTCTGAATCATATCTAATGTTATCAGAGGACAAACTGAGCATGTTTTCGATCCTACCTTGTGATGCCACATTGAGGATGCAGTTGCCAGCTGCTAGACAAGGGATGATGTCCGATGTTGAACTTCTGCTTATGATATTGCCTCCAAAAGACTCAACATAAAAAGCGACAAGCAATCATAAAATTTGTGTAAATACTCACTAAACCAGTGTTAAATGAAATTACAAAATATTTCTTTCAAAAGAAACATATGGCCTTACCCTGGTAAACCTCACCTAAAGTAATTGCAGACACTCAGAATGTATTCATATGATGGGTGTCATTAAATAAGTTGGGTGGGATCCCAAGAACTGCAAATGGAACTTTTAAAATCACATTTTACATGTCTTCCAAAGAAAAGAAGAAGAAGGGAAATGGTCTTAAAATAACTAGAGAACTATCATCAGTGGCACAACAGATGTGCTGTATTATCCGGTTTGCACATGCCAACCAACTGTTGATTGTTATTGTTGCTTAGTTGTCATGTTGTGCTTACCCATCATGGGCAAATGCAATGGGCTGCTTTTCTGAAATAACCCATTAGGAGAACCCATGGCTGTTCCTGCATCTCTCTGACCCATGATGGGCTGCTTTGTCTTCAGAACCCAGACATGGGTCAGACCCAACCACGAGTGAGTCACTTGGCAAGACAAACGAAAACCCCTTGCCAGACGTGACTTCTTGGCAGCTGCCATTGCCAGCTGTCCCAAAACTGCCCAAGCAGCGCTTGGAGGTGGCTGGCAAAAGCACCCCCCACTCCTGGCCACAAAGCCAGGTCATTCCAGCTTGCTGCCACTATTTCCACTTCTTTTCTTTTCTTCTCTTCTCAGTTGTGTTTTGGAAAGGCAATCCATATTAACCCTCCTTTTAATTTTTTTTTGGGGGGGGAAGGGGGAAATAATGTGTGCAAATAACAGTGCCCATTATTTTTACTTTTAACTTGACCTGCCTGATTTGCAAAATAATGGACAGGGAGGGTTAGCTCAGAGGGAGACTGGATCAGTACCGGGCTCAGGTGAGGGGAAAGGGCACCCCAGTGCCTAGCCTGGCTGCAGGTAAGTATCTTCTCCCTGCTCCCTTTCAAACCTCTCACAGATCATTTCAGAATGTGATCTGTCTGAGAACGGCGAAGTCCCAAGAGACCCTTATTTGTAAATAGGGTGGGTTGATATTTTGTTTATTTACTACATCTATATCCCACCTTTTTTCTTAGAAAGAACTCAGAGTGGCTTACATAATACTCCTCTTCCTGCTTTCAGTCTTATCCCACAAAAACCCTGCAAGGTAGGCTGGGCTGAATGGTTGTGACTGGCCCAATGTCACCCATAGGCTCCACAGATGAGCAGGCTGTTCCTGTTCATAAATAGATCTTTCAGTTTGGGAAGGAGGCCAATATAGTATTCCTAGGGTATCTTTTCAGAAGGATATTGTGGGGGGCATACTTGCTTGCTCCTGGGTTAGCCATACTTGCAATCTTCCAAGAAAATCCTTAAGTTTTATCTCCAAAGAGTCTTGTGGGACCACCACACCTTTTTCCTACAAGCTCACTATCTTCGTTCAATCCTATACATCTTTACTTCTGAGTAAACATGTAAAGGATTAAACTGTTCACAGCTACTTTTCACCATGTTATATGGGATATTGCTTATATGTTCCACATGTATGAATAGCAATAGTTTCCACTATTATTATTATTATTATTATTATTATTATTATTATTACATTTCTA